GGCTGCTTAATCTCCGACAGCTGCACTGGGCCAAGATGGCATCATTCGAAACGCGGCCAACGCACGAGCGCGCTATGCCAGCCACTTCGCGGAGGCAGCGCGCCTGGAAAGCATCCAGTTTTCGGAGTTCTGCTTGGTCCAGCCACAGGGTGTGCAAGCAATACATCATGCCAGATACTACGCAAGACTGGAAAATCAAGACCTTCTTGGAAAGTGAAAGCTTCGCATTTTTCTAAATTTTGCACAAGCTATGGAATTGCCCGCGCGCAATGCCGCTCCTTCTGCTCAGCTCAGGGCCGCTGCCGCCCTCGGCGTTCAGTAGCCCGCCCAAGTAGATCATACTGTCCCTCTGCGGAATTGTTGACCCGTCTGGCCGGGCAGCATGCGCCTCGCATCCCGCGAACAAGACCTCGAGCTTGCCCCAATTGAACCACAATCCATAGTTCCTCCCGGCCTCGCGCGCGCACTCCATCAGCTGGTAGGCGAACTCTTCTTCTGCTCCGAATATAAGGGCGTCGTCGGCGCACGTGGGCTCTCTAACCGGAATCGAGTTGGATTGCAACGTCCCGCGACCAGTAAAGCCCCGCCTCGCGTCGCGCATGAGGGCCGCCATCGCGATCGAGAACAAAAAATGACAATGGGCACCCTGCGACGCGCCGAACGCCTGCGGCCTAGATTCGGAAGTTGAGCCAGCATCCTGGACGCGGAAGCTCCCGTCGTTGTAGATTCCCTTCGCAGCGGCGGCGAAGTGCTCAGAGATGCCGAGCCGGATCAGAGCCTGCAGGAGGCTATCTGGCGACGCGCTGTCGAATGCTTTAGCCCAGTCGAATGCGAAGAGAAGCAACCCCCCAGAAGCTGTGTCCACGGCGTCCTCGATCAACAACCGTGCGACGAACAATGCCTCGGACGTTCCGCTGCCAGATCGGAATCCAACCTGCGCTCCCCAAATCCGGTCCTCGGCGCCCGCGCTCTTCGAGCGCGCGAGCAGTGCCGCGGCGTAGTGCTTGTACCCGATGGGTAAAAGTGAGATCGGCCTGTAGTTCTCGCACTCGGCGACGTCGCCTTTCTTGAAGATAGCCGTGACAATCGCCTCGCGCCAGGCGTCGGGCACAGACGCTTCCGTCCAACGCCGATTGCAAAGCAGAACGGCCCACTCGCATGCTGGCGTGTCTGAACTGCAGATTGCCTTCCAAAACTCAGCTGGGGCGCCGTCATTGCCGGCCGCGCGATTCCGTTTCAGCGTACGTGCTGCCGCGCACACTTCCGCCCGGGTAATCAGGCCTGCGCGCGCTGGTAGCTCGGGCGCGAACAGTTCTGGATCGTCCACGGCAGCGCCCGGCCGCGCGGCCCACTTCATTGCAGCGAAGTACTCGGCCAGAGTCTGGGCCCGCTCGTCGCCATCAACTTCTCGGCAGCGTAGGTCCCGCAATCGCCCTTGGGTGGCGCCGCGGGGCTTCCAGAGCTTGCGCGCCTGGTTCCAGTCGCCGTTCTCCAACAGTCCGTAGAAACGGTGCTCCTGGTCCTTCTTGATGGATGCTCTGATCTTTCCGTGAAAACGTTTCTCCATCGCTGAATCCCCTTGTCGTCTCGCCTCGTTCCGCCTGGTGATGAGCTCCATCGCGGCGCTGCCCGCCCACGGTTGCTTTCTTCGTTCCGCCTCTCGTGGGGGGCATTCTGCGGCAGCAGCGAAAGCATTGACCACGGCATCGTGCAAGCTGCCCAGGGACTGGCGCTGGCACAATGCGGGCACACGGTTGGCGAAAATATCAGCAAACAAATGTTGGCGTGCAACGCTGGTCAATCCTGACAGGTCCGGTTTCGAGTCCCTCTCGTGATTTGATTTCGGAATCTCTATGCGCGCGCGGCATTGAAACAGAAAGCGACGCGGAGCAAGGGCATAATTCCGCCTGCTCCACACGTCTGCCACCAGATTCGCGCAGTCCGCGTCGCCTAGAAGAAAAACGATGTGACCGAAATGTTGCGGCGCGGCCGGATCTCCCGGATGGGGCCCCACACTGCAGCACGTGATCTGGTTATCCGCGGAATGGTCGAAGAACGCACTGGCGACAGCCAGCCCCTCTCTCTCGCATAACTCCATGAGCAGGCTTCGGTTTGACAGAGGGTTGTGCTGAGCCTGCGGGTCTCCGAAGATGTGGTCTCCCAGAATCGACTCCTCTCCCCCGAATCGCCTGTGCAGCCTAGCGCTAAAGTCTCCCAACACCAAGGCATGCCCATGTTTGGACGTGCTAGCCATAATGCTGCCCAGCTGATTGTAAAAGTCTTGCCTATCATCGCCCGGCTTCCCATCATGAGGGGCGCATGCGCTGAAGATCGGCACCTTTTCCGCCCCGAACACGAAGCTTCAAATGCGAAGCTCTCTCGCCCATCATATTGAATTCAATAACGTTCCTGCGAGCCCGCGGCGATGCGAGAAAACCGACTCCAGCAGTCTCATCGAAGCCAGGGCTTCCAGGTAGAACGACCCAAAACCCACGTTCGGTCATATAGTAAACGGACTCGTGCTTGTGAGTCTCTTGGATGGCGAGCACGTCGATGCCCAGCTTCTCCATGTTGATATGCAGTTCCTCCTCCTTTGCCTCCGCCATGCCCTCGACGTTCCACGAACCGATAACGATGTCCACTGCACAGGGATGCAAGCGCGTTCCTCGGAAATCAGCCCCTCCTCGTCCAGTGCTGGCGTTGCCTTGCCGTGCTCTGGTCGCGCCTTGAATGCACCCATGAATTCTTAATCGATATATAGGAGCAGTATGGCCGACTGCGGGTGAAACAATTGTGTCTGGTATTTCCTATTCTGGATGGCACCCTGTGGCCATCTTCGACAAGCCCTTGACGCCGCCCTTCGATCCCTTCATGCCGGCCGTTGCCTTTGCGACCAACTGGCTCGACCTGTCCAGAAGATCCACGACCCCGGGGCTTTTGTGAAGCTCCTCCCACCCAGCCCACTCCCCGTGCCACTGGTGGGTCGGTCACACGACCAGGGAACACATGTAGTCAGTGCGAGCTCGCCGCCCACTGTCACCGTGTAAGGAGCAGAATCGTTGACGGACGCTGTGAAGGGAATGTTCCATGCCTTTTTGAAAATGCGTTCTTATCTAAAACAGAAGTTCCCTGCCGCCCTCTCGTTGATAGGGCGGTCTTGGTTGGCCCACACGGTTTCCCACCCGATTACACTCCCCTCCTCCTCAAGACGTCCACGGCGGCGCTCCTCTCCACTGAGTTCCGGAACTCCGCGAATAGCACTCCAACGAGATCCCCCTTCGTGTAGGTCTTGGTCGGGATCGGGGCCTTCAAGGACGTCAGCGTTTCCTGTTACCACTCCTCGGCCTTCGAGAAGGTGTCGAGGCCAGCGATGTTGCCGACGACCATGGTCACTGAGCGCTTCTTTGCGCTCGATCGCCCGCGGATTGCGTGCAGACTGGAGTATGCTGCGTGCTCTCCTGCGTCATGGCCTCCCTGATGTAGTCCTTGATCTTGGTGTCAAGCTCCTGGGGGGCGTAGGGCGGCTGATCCTTCAGCAGCTCGTGCACGTTTTCCAGCTTCTCCACCCGCGCTTCGATATCGAGAATGGCAGTCTCCACGTGGTCTATGCGGCCAGCCAGCGTCTCTCCGATGCTCGTGACCTTGGCATCGAGCTTGCCGAGTTCTGCGCGCAGGCTCTTGACCACTGACGTCACAGGGGACAGCTGCTCCTGCAGGAGGCTAGCGATGCCAGCCATGGTCACGTCGTTCTGCTGGTCGAGATTCGGCTAACGGGGCGGCGTCTCGATCAGCTCGTCTTCGGAATCGTCCTCGGGCATCGGGACGTAGCCCTCCTGCTGCTCGCGGTGTCCTGGGCGTTCCTAGCCAAGAAGAGGAGCAAGGGGGGAATGAGGACCATGTCCAATTCGAGTTTTCTTGTCCTCCCTCATCTGTCCCCATGGGTCCTTTACGAGACTTCCGACAGGAGTGCCGGCAATGCGGGTATTCCCAGTCTTGGGAGGTGGTGTGGGAGACATCATAGCCTCTAACTCCTGTTCAAGATTCCGCGGCGATCCCGCCATCGGCGCCGACATGGTGCGCAGTGCTATCAGAGGGTAGGGAAAAGGGAACGGAACTGTGAATGTGAGTGTAAGTAAGTAGACAGGGTTCTTGGCTCTTTCCTCTTGAGCCAAAATGGCTTGAGCCAAATGGCCTGGATCCGCCGCGGGGGATTCACGATATATTGCATCGAAAAAGACATGCGTTTTCTGGACGTTTGCGAGTAGGCACTTTGCGAGTAGTGGAACGCGCTCGGAGAATCAAGCGGAATTCAACGGGAGTCTGCCAGATAAAGCCGCTCTCGACCACGGATATGCCAGCGCCGATGCTGAGTGCTTCTCCCAAGGAACTGCATCCCAAACGGCGGCTGTTTCCGACCGCCCGATCGGTCGCGCGCAGTTGGGGCCGACACTGGCGATCACTCAACGAGCAAACACTGTCCTGTATGGCGGGCAGGGGGATGAAGAGAAAGGGCCTGGATGGGCAAAACGACAACAAAAACAAGGTGGCTAACAATCAGTCGATCGTGCACGTGACAGAAGGAGAGGATTGCCCCTCTTCGCTGTCGTGGGCCGCTAGAGCCGTCGAGCCTAGGAGTCGCTGCGCCCTGCTTGTGCTTTGCCTCTGGGTATGGTTTCAGAGCACACCCTGTTACCGGGCAAGCATGAAAACCAAGAGGAAAAACAGCAGTATGATAAATAGGAGGGCGCTGAGGACAGCGCTGACCGACAGCTCCTCTGAAACTCCCCGCATCACGCTAGGCACCGATCAGTCTGAGACGCCAACTGCACCCGCGCACTAGTCCTGGCCAGGCAGAGCCTGGAACCAGGATCCTTGCGTACGCCCTCCTGGCTCGGCCAGAAGGCACGCATACCGACCCCGAGCCCAGAATTTGCCTGGCCAGGACTGGCGAAAGTCCATGCTTGGCGTCTCCCCGAATCTGGGCGGGCTGGGCGGCAGGCTATCCAATCCATGCAGGACGGCAGCTTCCGGATGTGCCGCCGCAGTTTGCCAGCGGTGCCACCGTCCTCGGTAATGGGGGGGGGGGCCTGCCAGATGCTCGCCGAGGCGAGCTCGGGCAACAAAGCAGAACGCGGCACACGCGCAAGAAAAGAAACATTACCACTTCTCCGCCACCGTGCACCCTGGCACGTTGAGGCCCAGTCGAATTAGGATTTCTGCAAAGATTCTATTACCCCCCCTCTCTTCACGCCCAACAGCTGTGTGCATCCCCACCCCCATCCTGAGGGTTTCTGGGCGCTCTAGCGATTCCTTGGGGCGTCCAAGGCTTCCAAGAAGGCTCAGGAAGGCCACTAAGGCCGCTAAGATGGCCCAAAACTGCCTCAAGAGGCACCCGACAGCTTGCCAGAACGCCCCAAAGGGCGCCGAAGGAGCCCCACGACGCGCCGGGCGGCGGCGGTCGGGCCGAGGCCGCCAGGAGGAGAGGCGGCGACGACTCGGAGGAGCGCAGACGAGGGCGCCGACGATGATGACGAGGGGACGACCACGACGACGACGACGACGACGACGACGACGACGACGACGACGACGACGACAACGACGACGACGACGACGACGACGGCGACCGAGACGGCGCCGACGGCGGCGACGGCGGCGGCGGCGAGGGCGCGAGCCCACCGCCCACAGAGCCACGAGGGAGGGGGGGCCACTGGGCCGAGCCTCTTCCTGCTCCTCGCGCGAGGGTGGCGCACCAGGCCTGCTTCCCCCCTCGATGGCTCACCGCTGCGCGGCGATCCGCAATTGGGCGCTCTGACAACTGGACCGAGAACATATGTTTCGCCTCGTCTATGTGGAGCGAGAATGATGTCATGTTAAGATTGGCTCAGGGTGCGCTCCAGGATTGTTTTCAAATATTTCAATTAATAATTATTGATGACACAAAAAAAACCATCTATCGGCGCAGCCGGTGCGGAACATCAGAGAATTTGGAAAACCCTGGAGTCCTTGGAAATCCAAGAACGTCGTACCATTATCTTGGCCTCTTGCTCCTCTGATCGCCAGGGGTGAGTGGCAAAGCCTCCTCCTCCTCCCTCCTTCCCTCCTCCCTCCTGCAGGAGCAGGAGAGACGCTGCTCAACCGAAGAAAGCTGCCCAGCGCCGTCCAAAGACCAGCAGGACGCCCCGAAGACTGCGGAAAGCACGTGGAGGCACCTCTGAACAAGCCAAAGAGGCGTCGGAAATAACCCTACAACATAAGAGGCCTCCGCATCCATAAGCTGGGAAAATTCTGCATGCTGCTGAGCCTTCTCTCCCTCGCGCCGGATCCTCGCCGGGGAACCGCTGGTTCATGATGTACTCGTAGGTGGTGAGATTCTGCGACCTCGGCCCAGCTCCCAGAGGCCTCCTCCTCCTCCTCCTCCTCCTCCTCCTCCTCCTATTCCTCCTCCCCCTCCTCCTCCTCCTCCACCGCCTCCTCCTCCTCCTCCTCCTCCTCCTCCTCTGGCAAGAGCGACGACAAGGGATGATGGAGAAGATGTTGACTTTGTTGGAGGCCGTTCTAAGTTTGGGATGGTGCTGGGCCTTCGAGGAGTTCTAGGGGGCTCCAAGAGGTTCAAGCGAGTTATGGGAGGTACTCCTCCTCCTCCTCCTCCTCCTCCTCCTCCTCCTCCTCCTCACCGTTACTCCCTTCTTACCCTGTCTCCTGATCCTCCGCGTCCTCATGCTGATCCTCATCCTCCCCCGCCTCCTCCTACCTCTATCACAACCACAACCAGCATCATCCTGATCATCATCGTAGTCGTCGTCGCCGCCGCCACCAGCTTCTTCCTCCTTCCTCATCCTCATCCTCATCCTCATCATAAGCAGCATCAGCATCAGCATCAGCATCAGCATCAGCATCAGCATCAGCATCAGCATCAGCATCAGCATCAGCATCCTCATCCTCATCCTCATCATCCTCATCCTCATCATCATCATCATCATCATCATCATCATCATCATCATCATCATCATCATCATCATCACCATCACCATCATCATCATCATCATCATCATCAACAGCAGCATCATCAGCATCGTCATCATCACCATCATCATCATCACCATCATCATCCTCAACCATTATCATAATCATCATGATTGTCGTCATCGTCATCAGCATCATCATCAGCAGCAACAGCATAATCATCATCAGCATCAGCATCATCAGCATCATCCTAATCATCAGTATCAGCATCATCATCAGCATCATCATCGTCATCATCATCAACAACAGCATCATCCTCATCATCATCATCGCCATGGTGATCATCAGCAACATCACCATCACCCGTTTCCTCCTCATCATCATCAGCATCATCATCATCGTCATCATCATCACCAGCATCAGCATCAGTATCAGCATCATCAGCATCATCAGCAACATCATCAGCATCAGCATCATCACCACCATCATCATCATCATCGTCATCATCATCATCGTCGCTGTCATCGTCATCATCACCATTATTATCATCAGCAACATCATCCTCATTATCATTGCCGTGGACATCATCATCATTATGAGCATCATCATCATCAGCATCAGCATCATCATCATTATTAGGAACATCCTCATCATCAGCATCATCAGCAGTATGCTCATCATCAGCATCATCATTGCCATGATCGTCATCATCAGCATCATCATCACCCGCCTCCTCATCATCATTATCGTCATCAACATCAGCATCATGATCAGCAGCCGCAACATTACCATCATCATCACCATCATCATTATCAGCATCATGGTCATCAGCATCACCATCATCATCATCACCACCACCCTCACCATCACCAGCACCATTATCATCATAATCATCATCATCATCATCATCATCATCATCACCATCGCAGTCGTCAGCATTATCGTAAGCACCCTCGGCGTCGTCGTCATCATCATCGTTATCATCAGCAGCAATAGCATAATCCCCCTGGAGAACCAATTCATCCTCGCGGTGTGCCAACGTGGCCCCGAAGCGGCCACGAGCTGGCCCTAGACTGCATCTGCGTCCCGGAAGCTATCAAGAAAAGCAGATCTTGAAAGACGGGCTCCTCCTTTCTCCCCTCCACTTCTCATCCCTCTCCTCCGCCAACTCATCCCCCTCATTCTCACCTTCAACCCCCTGCCAAGCTCGCCATCGCTCGGATGCCCATTTCCCGTGCATGCCTCGACTTCGCGCGCGAACGTTTCGCAAGATGATCTAGGATGTTCCTCCATGGTCCTCGCCTCCCAAACATGCACACGTCCGAGCGATGCCAAGCAAGGAGGAATGGGAAGTGGAAGTGGAAGGGAATACTGCGAGAGGCACCACCGATGAGCACACAAAACGCTCCCAGGCGATCAGCCAGGGGTGGGACAAGGCGCAAGGCGAGGGGAGAAAGGAGACCTCGCCATCGCTCGGACGTCCATTCCCCGTGCATGCTTCGATGTCGTGATTGCTTTTTTTGCTCGATGACCCAACATGCTCCTCGATGGTCCCCGCCGAAAAAATGCGCATGCCCGAGCAACGCTAAGAGGCAGAGGATAGGCAGGAGGATGGAGAAGCGGGAGCAGGATGGGAGAGGGAGCAAATTACGCTACCGAGGAACCCTATATACTTATTTCAAATATTGCGACATCCATTCTTGTAGCGGCCCCACCCCCTGCGCACTCCCTGCCACGCATAGCGACCACGCCCCCTGCGCACCCCCTGCGGTGTGGAGAACGTGCCACGCTTGCCACACCCTGGGGCCCTGGCACGCATAGCGACCCCCCCTGCGCACCCCCTGCGGTGTGGAGAATGTGCCACGCCTGCCACGCCCGGGGACACTGGCACGACGCCTCGACGCCTGCCACGCCCTTGGACCCTGGCACGCATAGCGACCCCAACCCCTGCGCATCCCCTGCGGCGTGGTGTCGAGGAAGTGCCACGACTGCAAGGCCCTGCGACCATGCCACGCATTACATGACCTGCGAATCCTATGGCTGCACCTGTACCCAAGTATGCTGTGTGTGTGTTCGTTTGTGTATGGTGCGCTCGCGAGTGAAGGTGAGAAAGAGGAGAGGGGGGGAGGTGTGTTGGTAACGCAGATCCCACCAAGTAATTAGGTGAGGTGTGTTCCTCGCGGGTGGGACGCGGCTGAGAAGAGAATCGGAACCCCACGAAATATGTGGCGAAAAAACCGGGGAGGAGGGGCGGGAGGATGCGCACGAGGATGCGCACGAGGGTGAGCACGAGGAGGCCGCGGAGGTTGGGCGTGACGGGCAGCGAGGAGGAGACGGAGGAGGGCGAGGAGGAGACAGAGGCGGGCAAGGAGGAGAGAATTGGGGGGTCAACCTAGATGCGCTCGCGCCATGTGTGTTTTCCTACATCTTTCATCCAGCAATGTTTTATTCCCTACCTAGGCTCTGCCTAGAGGGTTCTTACTCGCTGGGCTTAAAGGGGCCGGGCAGTGGGCTTCGCCCCGGGCGGTTCCCCCGGTCCCCGCCCCGCGGTTCCCCCAGTCGCGCCCCCTTACCTTAGCTTTGCGTATCTCATCTTAACTCAGCTTAGCTTTGCTTAGCTTAGCTTCAGCTTAGCTTCGCTTAGCTGTAGCTTAGCTTAGCTTAGCTTAGCTTAGCATATCATAGCATAGCCGAGCATAGCATAGCATAGCGCAGCATAGCATAGCATAGCATAGCATAGCCTAGCCTAGCCTAGCATAGCATAGCACAGCGCAGCATAGCATAGCAGAGCGCGGCATAGCATAGCATACCATAGCCTAGCATAATATAGCGCATGCTAGCGTAGCATAGCATAGCGCAGCATAGCCCAGCATAGCATAGCATAGCATAGCATGGCATTAGTGCAGCGTAGCATAGCATAGCATAGCATAGCATAGCAGCAAAGCAAAGGCAAAGCAACAGCAGCAACAGCAAAGCAAAGCACAAGCAACGCAAAGCAGAGCAAAGCAAAAGCAAAAGCTGCTCTTCGACGCAATGA